TGGGGTCCCCAAAAACCCACCGGAGGGGCTTTGCTCCCCCATTCCTGTCTCATGCCAGCGCCAGGCTTTGGCTGCCCGTGCCATGGAGAGCCCTCAGCTCAGTCCCACATCCCAGCTCATCCAGCTGGCAGGTCCTGGGGCCTCCCAGAGGCCATGGAATGGCCCCACACCAGCACCTTCCTCCTCCCATCCTGCACCCACAGGGGCACCACCGGGAGCAGGTGCCAGGCTGGGCTGTGGCCCTGGGCCCCACGGGGATGGACAGACAGACAGAGGCTGAGGGGAGGCACAGGTGGACTCTGATTCCCACCTTCCCAGTTCCTTCCCATCAGCTGAGCTCTGGGAATCACCTCATCCCACCCCCAGTGATGATCCCCACGGACATCACCCCTGGATAATGGGGGGGCGATGGCAGGGGCAGGATGAGCCTGAGCCCAGGGCCGAGCCCAGCTCAGCCAGGCGGGTTTTAGGGCTGGCTTTGCCCTTGATCAGGCCTGGCACCGCCCGGGCTGGCTCCGAGGTGACGAGCTCTGATGTGACACCGACGCTGGAGGAGCCGCAGCCGCGAGACTCGGCATCGACCTTCAGCCTCCCCTGCTCAGCCGAGAACATCCCACCCCTTTCTGCAGGGAGCAAATTCCCCCCCCACGGATCCATCACACGCCGAGCTGCTCCCGACACCCGGCTGAGCCGAAAATGCCGAATTCCAAGTCCTCCAAGGAGGAGCCGCGTTTCGGATGGCACGAGCAGCTCGGGGGAGGACGCTGGAGGCACAAGGACCCGGATCCACAGGCTCTGCATGCCCCGTGCTGCTGGAGCCGGGATCTTCCCAAAAAACCCTCCTGACCTGCCCAGGGAGCGGTGCCTTTGGCTCTGCAGAGGCAGAGCCGGCTCGGGGAGGGGGCAGAGTCCCGGTGTCCGAGGGGTCCCTGGCTGTGCCCCAGCTCCTGCTCTCCCACACACGGCCATTCCCGAGCCACGGAGCCCTGTGGCTGCACAGGGAAAAGGTGGGAGAGGTTTAATAATCACCTGTCACAGCTCTGAGCTGCAAAGAGCGAGGAAAACCCTGAGGAAAGCGGGACCGAGAGGCTCCGGGGAGAAGAGACGGCGGGAGCTGCATCCCAAGGGTGCCCCAGGAATGAAGCACTGCATCCCAAGGGTGCCCCAGGAATGAAGCACTGCATCCCAAGGGTGGAGCACCGTGTCCCCAGGATGGAGCACTGTGTCCCCAGCACCAACAACTGCATCCTGAGGGCACAGCACTGTGTCCCAAGGACAGAGCACTGCATCCAAGGACACACCACAGCACCTGCCAGCTGCATCCAACACCTTTTGTGTCTGTGAACGTGCCCAGCCTGCACAGGGGTGACAAATAAAACTGTCACAGACCGGGATAAGTCACCCTGAGCACCAGCACCATTCCCACACCTTCCTCCTTCCCGGCTGGAGAATCTGGTTTAGTACTTGTGATTTTGCCAAGAGGGCACTAAAGGCCCTTCAGAGAAGCTTTTTATCTTTGGGGCTTTGCTTTCATTACTGCTGGAAATCCGGGTGAATCAAAGCAGCTGTTTCACAGTCAGGACAAGGAGTGAAGACACCACGTTATCCCACTGAAATGAAGGAAAAAGGCTCGGGAAGAGCAGAGGAGCTGAGCCCCAGTGTGCCTGGAGCAGGGAACACCCCCCTCATCCCTCCCACCACGGGTCAGGGGTGCTCAGTCACCACCAGGGCTCCGGCTCTGGGATATCTGGAGGAGGGAACCCAAAACTGGAGCAGCAGTGAGAACCAGACCTGCAGGTCACCCAAATCCATCCGAGCATCCTCCGAGGGCTGCGCCGGCTCCGGATCAGCGGGACCACAACGTCCTGGGCCCCAGTGCTGGGAGGGAGCCGTGGAACGGATCCTGCAGGGATCTGGTGGCTCTCCCAGCAGCACACGGCCGGGTGCTCAGCGAGGAGCTGCCCCTCAGGTCCCACTGGGCTGATCCTGCCCCAGGGAAGTGGCCACTCCAGATCTTTGCTGGCCGGATCAGCCACAGGGAGCCGGATGGGCAACGTCAGTCCTGGCACGTGGGGACCACCAGTCACATCCCAGCGCTGGACTCCTGGGAGCACGCCTGGAAAGCTGCTGGCTTTGATGGACACCAGGTTGTTTTTATCCCACTGCAACTTGGAAGGACAGAAAATGAGGGATCTAGGGGACAAAAATTCCCAACAATCCCCCGTTGGTTTCCCATTGCAGCCTCCAGGAGACGTCCCGAGGGCTCCCAGGGCTGCTGGAAGGGGTCCCTGTGCCCTGACCC